TGGGTGGGGGGAGGAGGCCGTCTGTCGGTCCTTTTCAGGGCTAGGGGAAGACCATGGTCCAATTCTCAGAATTTTGCTGTGGGGGGGAAATGGGAGTACCCCGAGAAAACCCACTTTCACTGGTCAGGCACCGAATACATACACAAATATTCAATAATGTATATTAATTAAAGAGTAAAAAAAAATCATTTAAACTTTTTAATTATTGCATACCATTACATATATTAATTTCTGCCAAACATGAACAAAACTTGCATACTATTCCACTAGTTGATCATATTCTTAAATAAGCATCTTCCATTAAAGACACTGCTTACAGTCAGTTGACAGTACTCCGTGAATGGTTATGTCCATAATCATCATAAGCTGGTCACAGTTAAGACTTTTACCATGTAGAAAAATGTAGCATTGTGTAACAAGTACATATACAAAATCCCTTGAAACTAATGTAAATGTATTTATTTACTGAGCACAAGTATTGCTCTTATATCGCATCAAGTTAATGAAATAAAGGGTTAGGTTGGAAACTAGGTCTGTTTCTTCAACTGATCATAACAAGAGCAATTAGAAAGAAATACAACACAGCTTCTGTGTTACCCAGAAACAAGACTGTTCAGAGTACTCCCTAAAAACATTCATACAACGTGCTAGCAGACTATTCACAAAAAAGCTTCAAAACAAGTAAAAGGCTGTTAAAACATTTGAAGGAAACTCTTCTACAACTGTAAAATACAGTTTACTGTCTGCATTAATTTTTAGATTTTACAAATTTAGGTAAAAATGTTATAAAATTAATAATCTCACAGTTGTATGATATTTGAAAGATGATGGTAGTATTAGTTACTATCAATCCTTTAAGAATCTCAGTAACAGATTCCCTATAAAGTTAATTTAAATGTTCATGTTCAATATGCTCACAAATTTTTCTTTTACTAGAGAAGTCTGCTTGTGCTGCAAGCATTACAGAAATAAAAATTGTCACAAGAAGCTCACTACAAATTTAACAAATAATCATACTTAGAGAATTAAAAGTAAGAGCAAAAAACAAAGGCTAAATCTACCAAGCATTTACATTTAAATACATATAATCTATTTCCTGCTAATATTACAATACCACAAGAAAAACTGTTAGAAAACAATTAATTTGGAAATCTATAGACATGAAAATTACTGGTGACAAAGGACAAACTTTGGAACTTAAAACACTCCCCAAGATTTGTGAATAGCAAGCATCCATTTGGACAAGGTTATTAATCTCACAATCTAATGAACTGCTTGAAGTTTATCAATCAACAATTTTACTAAAGCTCTGTGCAAAGATGCATGACACGTCATTTCATGTATTGCCAAGTTACACATATAATAATAATTAATAGTTAATGTAGACGGTTCAAGAGGAATGCTTGTCTGTCCTATTCCAGATGTTCAAATTCCTCTTTTAACTCATACCCATGATATTTTGTTCTTCATATCTGGTTGTATTCTGAATAAAGAAATAGCAAATTTTATAAAATATTCATACAAAACTGGAATTAAATATCATACTGTCAGCTTCAGTTTTGGTTTCTATCTTGTATAATGTTCACATGTTAAACCAAGCCATAAAATATCTAATCATGTCAAAACAAAATGCTGACAAGTAAAAAGAGGTCACTGACTAACTTTTTTTTTTCATGTAATCAAACCTTTTCTTGATTTACAGACATGGCACAACATGAAGGATATCTCTTTCTTAAAAATCCATAAATTTCTTGACTTGCATGTTTTTTTTTTATATTTACTTATTAAGAAAGATTTGTATTGAAAGTCCTGTAATGTAACTTTCCCAGAAGAGATCAATTTCAATCACCATATACACTTACAAATTGACATACTTCAATTAAATTTCAACAAGAGAATCACTGTTGTTAATATGTGTAGTCCAAGGTTACAGAAATAGCCAGGAGCAAGGTGACTGGATATGCAAATAACCATAGGTCATGAACAACCCTCTTAATTCATGCAGTATATTTCAATAAGTAAGGTAGTCACAACATGGTTCAAATTTTTGAGTGAGGAGAACACTCAATAAAGACAATTTTGTATCATGGAATGTGTGTTGAACCATTTTAAATTTATCATTCACCAATTTCTGTTGACTGTTCAAAAATATGGGACATGCTTTTTCACAGTATTAGTAGATTATATATTCAAATTTTTTTTAAATTTTAACATTTATGGCATTCTTCAACAGAAAATATTCCATAACTGCTCACAATACTGAGACATCACACTTGGTTATAAGTTATCTCCTCTGCTACAATTATTACTAGTCTCACATAATATTCCATTCATACAGCTCGTATGCGATTAATAATAATATATGATACACATGTTACTTGTTATTTAGACAAATAACTGAGTGTAGCAAATATTATCAAACAGCTAAACTGTCAAATAACAAATAGTAAATTTCAAATATTCTATACATTATTGGGTCTGTGCCTTCGAAGTTTGGGCTGATTGTGATACAAATTGAATGCTACACAGATCACCTGTCGAAGCTGTATCGTGAATGAGTGACAAATAAGCAAAATATAATAACTAGGCCTATAGCTCCGATGGATGGTATCATACCTTGCACTTAACCTTAAACTTTAATTAAGGTTTAAAGCATTACGCTAACAGTTAAACCTTCTGTTAACTTGACTGTACAGCTTAAAGTTACAAGAGACTACATAAGTCATTACATTTTATAATTTACATTGTATATATATATATATAATAATAATATCATTGAAGTTGAACAAGTAACAAACTAACAATATAGTAACATTGTTATTAATACTATTTGCTGTAGTTTTTTGTTGTTTTCTACTTACGTTAGTGGATTCATGTTATGTTTACTGAAACATGAAATACTTTCTAAATCTTCAGCAAAATAATATGCCTACCTACAAAACCTTTTAATATTTAAACTACTTTTTAAAGTTTAGTACCCCGATCTTAGTCTACGTCTAGCAAATAACACTATTTGTAAATTAGTGCCACCTATAAGATTAAATTATGTTCTTATTATTATTTTTATAATCGTGAAACGATTCTGCCAAATAAATGTTTTTGAAAAATGTTGTTTTCATATTATACAACAAAATATCAACTGAAATAGGCTAATTAGCTAATTACGAAAACATATTTTCTCCAACTTTATATCTTAGATACTATTTCAACTAGCACTTTAAAATGTAACGTACCCAACTGAGAACAAACAAGTATGTATATTTATATATACATAGCATAAAATATATATCAAGGTATAGTGAGATTGTAATTCATAATGTAAAGAATGATATTTTGTCATCAAATATCAACAATGGAGTGAAGATTTGCTTAAAAGTAAAGGCTCGCAGCCATCCATATTGAAACACATTTCGTAGAATGAGCAATATTATCTCCAGTATCGAAAGTTAGTGCCAAAAACAGAAGAAATTAAGTTAAATCATGCAGTTTCTGTAGAACATATATAGAGGACGCAACAATAATTAGGAAGATTATTACAATATTTAATTATTTTTGTTTATATTTTTGTGACTCTTTGTTTTTCTCCATATTAAATCATGTTTATTCTGCCAAATAGAACATTTCAGTAACATATAGCATCAGGGTTAAAAGAATTAGTACTGTAATATCCTTTACTGGCCGAGTTGACGTTGTCTGAACGATACAGCCAACCAATGATGTGAGATGATATTGTTGAATGGACGAAGAAAACGAGTTTAGCTATTGAACTCAGATGCGCCTTCTTGAGCCAGTTCGGCTAAGAGATTGTTGAGTGAAGACACTTCAAGAACATGTTTTATTTCTACAGATATTAATCATGGGGAAAGAAAGATGCAGAGTTCAGCACAATCCAGTAAAATCGACTGTGAATCTAGCTGTGGAAGTATTAACACTGTGTTTTCTGTTGTTTTTGTTATTTAGAAACTCGGTTAAGTTATTGTTTGTTTGTTTGTAATTAAGCACAAAGCTACACAATGGGCCACCTATGCTCTGTCCACCATGGGTATCGAAACCCGGATTCTAGCGTTGTAAGTCCGCAGACATGCCGCAAATTTATTTTGCAGGGCAAATGTGATCCGCACACGTATCTTGCCTGTTTTGTGGTATCTCGGGGCTATTTTCCCCTTACTGGAACGTTGTGCTCGCACAATCGATCGCCAGATTTTCTCCTTCTTGTGGAGTGGTAAGACTGAACTGGTCGCCCGGTTGTCTTTAACCTTGCCACTCCACAGGGGGGGTCTGGGGATCCCTTGTGTGTGCTCCTGGTGTCTGTCCTTACTTCTGGCTGTAACTGTGCGTGGTTTGTCTTTGGTGGGACATCCCTGTTGTCCACTCCTAAGATTCTCTCTGGGTTTGGGCTTCAGGGATTTTGGCTCTGCCATTGCTCTTAACACACCAGTGTCGAGGTTCTTTCCCATCTCTTGGTTTACCCACGGACTCACGTTCCTTCTATACAGTGCTGGCCCCAAATCCATCCCATAGGATTGAGCAACA